ATCCCGTTCTGTATACTTCTTAAACTATACGCTTTTTTTTTCTAACATTTTTCCCGTTTATTACTAAATCGCGTACGTAATTTTGTACAAAGTCTTCAAAACTATCATTCTAGAACCCTGTAGTGGCGTTCTTAGATGGTGATTTACGACAAAAATGGAGTGGTTCAGCTTTGGAGAACAATGGAACGTTCTATAAATCTTCTTCAATATTTTATAAATTTGAAAATAATAAGATAAGAGAATGGTTTTCTTAAAACTTGACCACAGCCCTTCGACGTTTTGGTCAGTTTCGCGGTCCTAGAGAGAGATAGCGGTCAGTTTGTGGTTTGTCATCGCAGCTCGTGATATTAGCACTAAGAACAATTCTATAGGTGGCAGTTGAAGACATCTATAGAAGACAAAGATTATTTTTTAAGTGCTTATGTCAATTTGAAAGAATGACTTGTAAATTTGTTTATTTTTCTTAAAAATCCTTTGCTTATTCTTAGGAGTTTAAAACAGAAGAATACATATAGAAACAAAAGTTACGCAATTTCTTACAATTTGCTTATGAGTTATAAATACTAAAAATAATCTTATTGTATTGGTTATACTCTTTTGCTTATCAAACATATTCTCTTTAATCCGCAAACAGCACTTAATTAAAAGTAAACAAGTAAAACAGAAACCAAAGCTTTTCACAAATATATAAACTAATCAAGCAAATTGAAAGTTATTGAGAAAAAAACGGAAAAAACCATTTAATTAACTATCTGAAATAAATAATGAAAGACAATCAGCCTTCAATACCGATTCCCTGCACAACTTTCGCCATTTTCTCGACGACTCTCGATATCCGTGCCATATCTTAGCTCTTCTTAAGCCTTTTATTATTTGGTTGACAAATCATTGTCTCCATTGTCTTCAGTGTGCATGTGCGTGTTTTTTGAAAATATCCGAAATAAGTTTCTAACAATTCCTAACACACTTCTTTTGATCGTTTGAATGTGATGCCAACAAAATTTTTTTAAAAAGGTAATAATTAAATAACAAAAGTACTTATAAACCTGCACTATCATCTTAAGTCCAAACATTATAAATCAATGACACTAACTTCGTATAACTTGAAAAATATTTACATTGTTGGCAAACTGTAGAAGTTTAAAAGCCAAGGCAAAAAAAAAAAAAGACAACATACAATGAACGTGCTAGTGATTGCACAAAGTAGATGAGTTACAACGCTGGCATCAAAAACTATTTATGATAACAAATTAAAAACCCCAGTTGAGAATACATGATGTTAATAGACAATAGAGTGCAGCATGTCTCTCTTACATCAAAACGAACTATTTCAGCGAACTAGATAACGACCGAC